TGCGGCAGCTAGGGTAAGTGATGAGCATCTATATCAGTGCCATGGGGGGGGTGAAAGGGCAGAAACACATTCGTTTTGAAAAGTGAATATAATCACCAGATGTATGCATAAAAAATAGTATACTGACATTATTAAACAGGTAAATTCTGTATTTTATAACTATCTTTTTAGGCATACATTGGTGATGATATCCAACTGCTTTAAAAAAAATACAAACTATATTTAACATTCCCCTAATGGTAGTCTTATAAGTACCCTGGAAGCTTAATCAAATTTAGTTTTCCCTTTCTAGTACAAATAAGACATAAAAATTATGACCTTCCATAGTCAAGGACTAGATAATATAGCAAGTAAATCACTATCCTGGTAGGTGAGAATTGTATTCTTTATTTTTCTGTGGCCCTTTCCATTCCATGAAATTACTATGATAGTACCAAGAAATTATTGCCTTATGCTGTGGATGTAAATCCTTCCAACTCACTTAACTGTCCAGTGTGTTTACTATTTGCTTTTGTTAAAGGGAGGGCTCATTATTACTGAATCAGGAAGTTGGGAAAAGTCAAGAGATTAAGAAAAATCTGATTCCAGTTCTTATGAGAATGGCATTAAAACCCACTTGCCCAATCCTTTTCTACTTGCAAGAATCAAAATTATCTTCTGCATTTTAAAAGTGCTACAAATCAGTTCAGCCTTATAAAACACCAGAAGTATCTGCAGAAAAAATATTTTTCTTATGTGTAGATGATTATAATTAAGGCACATTATTGGGGTGCTTTTTCCTAGTAATGTGAAATGCCATCCTAATGCCCATTTTCTTTAACCAGTCGGATCCATTTTTACAGGCTAAAGTATAATGAGGTAACAATGTAGAGAACGCAATTAAATGTACAACTTTGGCTTCCTTCTCTTAACTGATGCACACTAATCATTACTGAATGTTTCTGAAAAATAGGGAGTCCAGCTCATAAACCAATACAATCTCCAAGGCTCTCAACTCAGACAATGGAATACAACTCATTTCCATATATTTCTGGATTCTAAGAAACTGAGTAATAACAAACCTTGTTCACTTAAAACTTCATTAATATGTGACTCCTCATTTTCTTTTCTTTATTGATTTTAGAGAGGAAGGGAGAGGGAGAGATAGAAACATTGATGAGAGAGAACATCGATTGGTCGCCCCCTGCATTCCCTCCACTGGGGATTTGGCCCACAGCCTTGGCATGTGCCCTGACCCGGAATGGAACCGGTGACCTCTTGGTGCATGGGTCAACTCTCAGTGAGCCACACTAGTTGGGCTGACTCCTAATTTTAGTATCTACCTCAATAAATTTAATTAGAACCTTAACATTCAGATTTACAAATACATGTTTCAATTATTTGAGAACCTAAATATATGTAACAGATAATACTCTAAAATTTTAAGGGATATACCAGTGTCTACTACTCAAGAGACTAACCAGTCCCATGACAATGAAGTTTATTTCTCCATGTCTTCCCTATTTAACGACTTCTTGAATTGAGACAAGTCTATACTTCTCTTTGTGTATATGAAAGGAATATGATGTTTCATATGGAAACAAAGTATATCTCAATCCAGTTGAAGCCCAAAGAGAAAAAGAAAAAAGCAACTATGTAAATTCTTAAAAATAAGTTAAATATGTCCCTAATAAATAAGACAGCATACTTTTATGTAGGAAACTGGTAAATAACATTAAAACTACCCAGTATGATTAAACATACATACTCAGTTATTTCCCTAACAAAAATTTTAAAGGATGATTTGAAATTTGTAACAGATAATATCTGTCTTTGCATACACATTTCTGTGAAAATGCTTTTATTTAAAGTTGGCAAAATGGCCCATTTTTTATTTCAAGTAACTTCTAAAAGGGGCATTGTAAGAATTATACCAGATCTTAATAAAAGTGAAAACTTTTTAAAAACTTTAGTTACTAACTACTGTTTTTCAGAAAGAGAAGTAATGCTAATTCTCCATCATATTATGGCTGATGAGTTCATGTATTAATACAGGAATATAAGGACTAGACTAAAAATCCAGAATTCCTGCATTCTCTAAGAATAATTTAGAATTATCCCTTGTAAAACTTCCCACTTTCCTAGGGGAAACAAGAACAGTATATAGGGGTTTGAGTTTTATAAAGTACTTATCAAACCCTCCCCACCCCCAGAGCCACACACCACCAGAAATTTTCCTAAGAGACGAATTGGTATTCTAAAATCTAGAAACAGGCCATCGAAATCAGTTGTATAAAACAGACACAGATATAATCTCAAAATCAGGTAAACAAACAGCTGTTACCACTTATGACATTTTTATTGGCATATGACAATTTACAAGGGTCCCTGTTGCATTATACATCACACTGAATAAGAATCGTTGAGCCATCTACATTCATTCCTATTGGGTAATATTTTTGTCTCAAATTATAATTTAATTCCCAACACTTGATTTTAACTGTGACAAAAGGGAATAGTAATTCCTTAAAGTAGGCTGTGATTGGAAAAACATATTTTGCTTTTAATATCGAAATTCTAAAATGTTGAAAGGTATACACACCTAAAAACTGAGTCATGGCCTTCTTAAACAGCTATCTGTTCTGGAAATACCCTTTGGTTTATTTTCCTTCTCTAGGCAAAAGGAAATCTGTTAATGCAGGTAACAAGAGTCATTATTTCCTGGCACTTGTAAACAAATATCCTTACCAAGAGAAACCATTTGACTTTTATAACATCATGAAGTGTGGAATTAAACTGTGGTTTAAAAAAAAAAAACACAGCCCTGGCCAACGTGGCTCAGCTGGTTGGAGCATTGTCCCATACACCAAAAGGTAGTGGGTTTGATCCCTGGTCAGGGTGGGTGCCGAAGGCAACCAGTGTTTTTCACATCGATATTTTTCTCTCCCCTCCCTCCTACCTCTCTAAATCAATTTAAAAAAATACACAGACTACTTTTTATATGCTTGGCTCTGAAAAACAACAACATCCACAATCATCCTTCCTATTATATTCTGATAACATGCCCTTTCCTCAATTTTGTTTTAGAGAATAAAGTAACCAAATCATTTATATATTTGGGTTAATGTAATGCACCTGCACTTAAAATATAACCTGCTGATAGGACTGATAGGACTTAGGTAACTTTTTTCCCATTCCCTATTAAATAATTTCTCAGCAAATTCCCTTTTTCCTACGTGTGCAAAAGAAAAACTGCACATTTATAGGCATGCATAGAGATTTAGTTTTAACAAAATAACTGTTAAAATAAAAGCTAAATTTCTGTAAAATAAAATGGTCATGAAAATTCTCCTATGTTGGAGATCAAATCCTGGTTGCTTTATCATGTAATTATTCTAACTGGAAGAATAGTTATGTCCTGATCAATCCAACACATACTTGCTTTGACAGTGTTTCCTCTGCTGTAACATACAATTCCAGAAAGAAAATTAACAGGAGAAATCATGCAATACTAAAGATCTTAGGGCCATAAACATCACATAGTGAGGTTTGGATTTTTTTCCCCACCCCACCCCCCAATAGCTCTTAGCAAATTCAAATTACCCTGCCTGCAAGTCAAGGTGCCAGAAGGACTGCAAATCATCAAATGAGAATGAAAGGGCCATACACTTAAGACCACACTAGCAGAATAAACATTATCCTTTTAATGCAAACATATACAACTAATTCATTTGCGGAATTACTAAAATTTGACTGCTTTTATATATGCTCATAAAGCACACATACTTAACACTGAAATTTACTATTTCAGATTTTCATTCCTTTAAGAGCAATCAGCATAAGCATAAAGGTAATTCACATTTCAAAGATTATCTACCTAAAAAAACAGAACCCTAGAAAGAAAAAGAAAAGGCCATTTTACAAACTGCAACTGAAATGGGGGGGGGGGAGTAAAAACCAAGTTAGATAAATGCTGCAACAAATTTCCTGTCAAAACTTTTTATTGTTGACATTTGAAAAACAAGTTACTTAAAATACTACTAATCAACAGTATGTTGTTGGCCTATTTTTTCTTATGGTTAGACTACAAACTAATATTTCAGCTGTCAAAAAGATCAAATAAATATGTAAGATATAAAATCAATATGTCTTTTTAATGTATCGAGTTATTCTGCAGGATAATCCTCTTCCATAATAACACATCAGGATTACAGGTTTTGCTGTATGTTTTTTCTTAAAATAAGATGTTCAGTAGGAATGGGGTTTTTATTTGCAGTATTATTACAAACCAGTTTCCTCTCTCAAAGAATAGCTGCTAAGACCATGACTCAAACTTTCAAATAAAAATAAAAAAAGAATACTGACTTTTGAATCCAAATAGTAAAGGCTCCTCCTAAGAGTGGTTTCCATAGGCCACTGCTAGCTTTCAGTAAAAAAAAAAAAGAAAAAAAGAAAAAAAAAACACCATATACTTTGCAATCTAACTTTTACTATCTTGTATTTCTTAGCTCTTGGCAAAGCTTTGTTTCTTCTTAAACATTTGCTGAAGTGTTAAACTAGCTTAGTTTACCAAAGTAACTTTTTCTGTGGTACAACTTCAAAAATTAGTCACCCTACAATGTAGTGTGTTTGAATTAAGGAAAATGTTAAAACAGGTGTATGCAGTTAAAATAATTAGTGTGGTCTCTATAAACAACTTCTGTTCAGAAATCTGTGTGTAGAGCTAACATTTACTTCAGAATAAACATTAACAAACAGGGAGGGAAGAGAATCAGAACTTTCACAGAGTTGTACTTGACCATATCTTATAGACAAAGCAGAATTACAATGCATGTAACAAAAACAGTAAAAGTATTCTTTTTAAAAGTTGATAGTTACAAATAGGGTACGTTAACAATTTTCTACTTTATTTCAGTACAATTTTCAACATACAGTCTACTATTTTTCAAGATATTTGAAGACTTAAAACAAAATTTCTATAGACTACTTGCAAACAGTAAAATTTAAGTAAAATGCTTACATTCTTATTTGAAAACAAAAATCAGGTAAAAAAAAAAAAAATGGTGGGTGCAAGTTCTGCTCTCTGTTGCGATCTCACTTCAGATTTACTACTCCTAAAAAGAACGAGAAAATAAAGATTAGCAAAGATGCAGAGTATGAAAATAATCCATAAAAATAATTGTTCCTAATAATTAACTGGCCTCCAAAGCCAAGAAAATCTATTAGAATCACTAACAATGTGCAATTTTCTACCTTTTCTTCTTTGCGTCTGTCCTTCTTTTCTTCACTATTTTCCATGGTCTCTTCTTCATCTTCAACAATCCCGTCCCCTTGGTATTTATCATGAGTCCATTTTGGACTGCTACCTGACTTTTTGAAGTTAAAGCGCCCTCTGCCACGTTGAAAAGTACCACGACCTCTTCCTCTTTTGGCCCAATAATCCACACCATCATCTCTGTCATCATGCTACAGAAAGATTAAAAACAATCATCAACGAAATGTCTTTCTCATAAGGAAAATTATTGTATCCCCAAATTATAAGTCATGGTATGAATTTTCTGAAGATTTGGTATATACGATTGATAATATTCTAAAACACAATAAAACAAGCAATAAATCTCAAAATATTGTCGAAGTAAATAATTACATTTTACTGCTTAGTAACCCAAGCATTGAGAGTTGCCTAATTTTTTGGAGAATCTCAACTGCTAAATTACTGCCAATTTTCAGATTCTTTACTTTTTTCCTTCCCATTATTATTTCAATCTAAGTCCACTTGTTACTAATTATACTGCAGGTAAATGAGATAAAATAGCCAGTATTTTTCCCAAAAAAATTTTCCTTAGTCATAAAGATGTGACAAAGTCATAAAAAGATCATTACAATATTATCAACATTAAATAAAACAGGTGGTATAAATTATACTTAAATATCAAAACATCTTAAAATCCTACTGAGATTTAAAACTAAATCTATGTATATTATACATAAGTCTTCTGGGCTAGATAATCTCACATCCCAAATCTTGATGGCATGGTCCCCTAGAGAACTAACTCAACTTATTTCTTCTTCACCAATCTGAAGTACTGCTATTTTACATTCCAATCCTAATTTTTCGTTAACTGTGTCCAAATAGAGATGTTCCTCAAACTACAAATTATTCCATTAATCAAAACAAAAGTACTTGATTTGTGGACAAGTAGATGAATATTACATCCCAAAATACAAAACAAAGAGCCAAAGTTCTCCTATAATGTAATTTAATAAACTGCTGCCCACCTACACAAATGGGAAATAAGGCAAAATGATACCCATTTTTGAGACAATAGGCATACATGAAAACAATGTTGCATATGAATTATTGGTATTGATCAACTGCCCAAGTCACTAAAACTTTTTTCAAATGTTATGGTGATATGAGCACCTTTTTCCAAAACAATGTGCCTTTGTGGATATTCATGTAATACAGATCACCCTCCTGCATGACTTAAAAAACTCAATTACACATGTAATTAACAGACTATATAAAAGAGCACTTACCAATTTCTAATGTCATTGTAACAAAACAATGAACCATCGCTAGCTAGGTGTACATGACTCCATAAAGAACAAATTCAGCGAACTATCAAAAGTGTAAATTTCAATGTCATAAAGTTTAATTGTAAACTGGAAATAAACTATTTTAAAATAGCGTGCCACTCAAAATAATGTCCATGCAATTACATAACTTTAGGCTCCCTTTTGGTTTCAGTACACCCAACCCAAGAGTTCGTGTATCTTTGTTTGTTGTATTTACACAATATTTCATACATTTATGGGAAGAAGCAAACAGGTTTTACAGTCATGGGTTTGTATCTTACCAGAAACTGTGTGACTTTACTTTCTCATTTTAAAAGAGAGAGCCCTGGCTGGTTTGGCTCAGCTATTAAGAGTGTCAGCCTGCAGACAAAAGGGTGGCGGGTTTGATTCCTCGTCAAGGGCACACACCTGGGTTATGCTGGTTGTCTCGATCATATCAATGTTTCTCTCTCACTATTCCACTCCCTCCCTCCCTTCCACTTTTTCTGACAATCAATTGGTGAGGATTAACCAAAAAAAAAAAGCCAATAAATATTTTTTAAAAAGAGAGAAAGAGAGCCTTGGGGAAACACAGATGATGTGTAAATAATGCTCAGCCCAGTGTGACAAGAAAGGACTCAATAAACTGTGATAATAATGTTTTGCCGGGCCAGTGTGGCTCAGTGGACTGAGCATTCTTCCTTGGACTGAGAGGTCCCAGTTCAGTTCCTGGTTAGGAGATATGCCCCAGTTGCACAGCTCAATCCCCAGTATGCAGGAGGCAGCTGATTGATGTTTCTCTCTCACACTGATGTTTCTCCCTCTCCTTTCCACTCTCTAAATAATCAATAAAATCATTCAAAATAATAATGTTTTAGTGTTTACCAAGGGAAGGCACTGTTCTGAGCACTTTCCATGTATTTACTCATCTAATCCTCGTAACAACCCCATAAAATACTGTTACTAATCCCATTTTAGATATGAAAAAACTGACACAGAGAAACTGAGTAACTTCCCCAGGGCCACAGCAGTAGCCTTTTCCACTACCCCTTTTACCACATCACCCACAGAATGCATTTCCCAGGAATCTTGACAGTAAGTGATTCCCATACAATGTAGCTAAGCATAGAAAACAGAAAAAGCAGTGACAAAGCTTGATATAAGAGTTAAACTAACCAGTACTTTTAAATTTACAATCATCTGAAACTGGGGATCGAGCCAGCAAACCAGGTTTGTGCCCTGATGGGGATTCAAACTGACAACCTCTTGGTGCCACACTGGCTGATCCTAACTCTTAATCCTCAAATACTAACATCTACAATTAATCATACTAAAACTTTTAAAAATTATTTAGTTCACAAATGATAAAGGGCCAAAGAAAGTAGATATGTATAATACACAGCCAAATATATGTTTAAAAAGGAGTCCATTTTACAACCCAAATCCTCTGAATCCCCTTATCTCTTCTCCATAGAATAAAGTTTCAAAGAGTTACATTTATTGCAACTCCAATCTTGAACCTTCCCACCAGGACTTCTCTCTTCCTCAGAATACATCAACTTGCCAGAGAACTTGCCCACTACAGCACTTTTCCACTTGCTCCAATTTCATATACTCGTCCCTCCATAGGATGTCAGGTTCTAAGACTATTATCTCTCCTAGAGTACTTACTATGAAAAATATTACCGTATCTGCATAAATCAGTTTTAAGATGGGGAAATTTCAGAAAAGAATGCAACAAATGTTACCATTACTCAGTACTAGAAGGATGATACTGTGCTTGCAGAACCCAGGCTCTGGAGCCAATACATGGGTTCAAATTCTGACCCCACTTCTACTAGCCATGTAACTTTAACTTTGGTCAAGTTGCTCAATATCTGTACCTCATAGTTTTTCCTATGTAAAAGTAAAATGATGGCCCCACCTCAAAAGGATTTTGTAAGCATGAAATAAATACATGTAAAACACAGAATTGTGCCCAGCATGGTACATATTATCATTATCATTATTACTAAGTATTATGTTTCATTAATATGAAAAATTCTTTCATGCTGGTCAATTATTTTAAAGAATCTAGGGGAATGTCTGTAGTATTCAACCTCATTTCCTCTGAATTATATTTTTATTTGTATTTCTATGCTCAATGCTACCTGTCTGAAAGGTTACAGAAGATGAAAAATCTTTTAAATTTATTTATTTTTTTTATCCTCACCCGAGGACATTTTTCCATTTTTTTTGTTCAAGATAGAGTGGGAGGAAGAGAGAGAGAGAAACATCGACGTGAAAAGGACACATCAAGTAGCTGCCACCCGCACAACCCATCCAAGGCTGGGGACAAACTGCAACCGAGATACGAGCCGTTAGCAGGAACCAAACCCGGGTCTCTCGGGACCGCAGGTCGACGCTCTAACCACTGAGCAAAACGGGCCAAGGTGAAAAATCTTTTAAATTTAAATATCCAAGTAAAAACCAGTTGTCATTTCAATGGCTCATTAAAAAATAAAATAAACCCTGGCTGGTGTGGTTCAGTTGGCTGAGAATCATCCATGCACCAAAAGGTCAATGGTGCGATTCCTGTTTAGGGCACATGCCCAGATTTTGGGTTTAGTCCCCAGTTTGGGTTTGTGCAGGAGGCAACTTATCAATGTTGCTCTCATATCAATGTTTCTCTTTCTCTCTCTCTCTCTCCCCTCTCCTCTCTAAAAATCAATAAAATAACATTTTTAAAAAAAAGGGACCAAAATAATTAACTTTGGGAATTGATATATAAGAAAAAAAATGTATTATCAATTTTACTTCTAGTAAACCTCAGTCTACCAAATGCACATGTATGCTTAATATAGAAATGAAAATTTTAAAATATAACTCAGAACAGCAACATATAAAATGTTACCAGTACTTCTTAAAATAGCACTCTACTTGGTTAGTAAAACTGCTAATTACACGCTAACCTATAAAGATTATGTCCCAATTTAAGGTAAAAATATGATACCAGGTTATGAAATAATGCCACAGAAAAATGAAGGTCTGTCCTAAATTAAATATTTGCACAATATTTAATTTACAAGTTATTTTTTTAAATCTACTAATTTATCTCTCATTTCCCTCTTAACTTTTTGACCTTCCACATTTGATCTGCTCTCTGGCATTTTTACCATCACTCACTCCTCAACCCATCTTTCAAAGGTTGGCTTTTTAATCTCTCTTCTTCTGACTGAGCAATCTTATAATGGCTTTTTAGTTGTGACCTGTAAAATGATGGCTCCTAGATTTTTCTCTCTAGATCTGCATTAGCAACTATCCATTGCACATCTGTACTTGATTTCTCCTGAGCATTTCAAGAACAGAACTTAATCTCCTCAAGCGGGCTTCTTTCCCTTGTATCCCCTATATCTTAAGAGAATTTCTTCTCAGCCCTGGCCGGTTTGGCTCAGCGGTTAGAGTGTCGGCCTGCGGTCCTGAGAGACCCGGGTTCGGTTCCCACTAAGAGAATTTCTTCTCAGTTGCAACACCCAACTACTGGGTCCCTGAATTAGTCCTCATAAATGTTACCTTCTGAACTTTTCTCAAATCTATCCCCTTAGTTCACTCAGTTTCACTCAGATATATCTGTTCTCACAACCCTGATTCTTTTTAACACTGCTTAAAATCCAAACTTACAAAAGTGTTATGGCTTTCCACAACTTAGCTTCTGCTTTTGCTTAATTTTCCCAAATTTACACCAATCATCTTGCCATCTGAGTACTAAAGTTCTGTGCCAGCCATGATGTTTCAGTACTTCTGTTATTCATCTTTTAAGCTCACGATTCAAGCCAAGGTCGTCCTTTACTAAGTTTCTCTTAATCACTCTTTCCTTTGCAGAAAATCCATACTACATATTTAGAATGCTTGTTTCTGGCCCTGGCCTGTTTGGCTCAGCGGTTAGAACATTGGCCCTCGGACTTAAGAGTTATAGGTTCGATTCCCAGTAAAGGGCACATACCTCGGTTGCAGGTTTGATCAGGGTCATGCGGGAGGCAACCAATCCATGTGTCTAAGAGTTATAGGTTCGATTCCCAGTAAAGGGCACATACCTCGGTTGCAGGTTTGATCAGGGTCATGCGGGAGGCAACCAATCCATGTGTCTCTCTCACATCAATAGTTCTCTGACTCTGTCTCCCTTTCCCTCTCTCACTCGATAACTAAAAATCAATGAAAAAATATCCTCCAGTGAGGATTTAAAAAATAATGTAAAATATATGGCGATAGAATGCTTTTTTCTCCATGACTAGTATCTAAGCCAAAAATTGGAATTAAATCACATTTATCCTCCCATCCTTCAGACCTAGCATAAATAGCAGTCTCTTAATACATAAATTCTTTAATCAAAAGATATGTGTCTTTGAAACTATTCTATATTATAACTGAGTAAAATGCCTTTTACTTTCCAGATTGTCAATTCAAACAACTCGAGCATAAATTTCTACTCATAAGAGCATAGGTTGAGCAAACATTATGCACAATGCATTCGCTAAGAATTTAACTTTTTTGGACTCTTGGTCATTAAAGTACCTAAAAAAGAGGCAAATCAGAACTGATTTCTGAAACAATTATATTGCCCATTCTCCAAACAAAATATCAATCAATCTAATTCAGGATACAGCTCTATCCTTTAACTTAGCAGATGTGCCATGGACATTCATTCAGGTTTATTCAAATAATATATTCATGAAAGCCAAATGAAAAGATATTCTGTAAATTTAGTACTATTTTTCTACCTGCTTCGACAAAACAACTAAGTCTTCATAACTAATCTCTGAAACATGACTTCCCTGAGAAGCTATGATAAAAATGAAATACTTCTGGTAATAGTTTCAGTGTTTCCTTAAGTCTGTGTCTATAATGCAGAACAGACCCTTTTCCTCCATGCTGAACTGCAGAAAATTTTCATCACTACCTAGAAAGAATCTTTCAGGACCCACCTCTACTTTTATCCCTTAGAAAACTACTTCAAGAGAAAAGCATTACAAAGAAGTATCAAATTAGTGTATCTAGCAACTTCTCCATAATGTGATTTTTCATCCTCCTTTCACTCCAATGAAAGTTAACAGCCTCCCTAAAATCCTTAATTACATGTAGAATTCTTGTCTTTCATTTAAATAATTGGCTATGATGATAGAGGATAAATCTTAATGAGAAGTTTCTACAAGCGTCACTGTCTTATAGACAGATAAAACATATTAATGTTCTCTGAATGTGGCTATCAAATCAGGTATATTTTTAGATACACTGATCAGCCCATAGGTAATGTCAATAAAGTACAGAAAGGACTAAAGGAACCCACATTTTCAAAACTTCAATCATTTGGGTAATTTTTTAAAAGAGTTCCCACATTATGGTGAAATCTTATCATAGTAGTGGATATCTGTACTCAAATGTATGAACTCAGTATGCTTTTGAAAATTAATGCAAACCAAATAAACACAGATTTCTAACACCCACCAAGAAGTACTTCTTGCTCTTTGGGGTATATTCTGGATCCCATTCCTCTTCCTTCGGTCTCTTTTGAAAAGTAGTATTTGAGTTGTTTGGACCAGTATTTGTCCCAGCAAAAACTCCTCTGGCTCTTCCTCTGCCTCTAATTCGAAACTGATTAACATTAACAAAGTTGTTTAGTAATGCAATCAAAGGTATTTAAGTTACATGCAAACTCTAATTTTACTGCAGTAACAAAAAACATATTCCCTAATTTCCTTCCTAAATCCCAACTCATAGCCACAGAGGATAGAAAGGATGGCCATTTTATATCATAGGCAAAAAACTCTGCCTTCTGAAAGTGAGTATGTTCAGAAATGCACAAAAACTAAGTGTTAGAATATTACACTTTCATGGCCTGAACTAGTATTTTAAAATAATCTAGTTGGTTCTTTTCCCTTTGCTTAGCCAAAAAACTTGTCTAATGCCTTTGAATTATCATAGAAGCTCCAAATGTTCAACTACACCTATCACCATATAAGCAATACTCTTCTGTTTCCCAAATGATCTAATCAATGAACTCTGAAATAACCAAATGAAACTCGATCAAGGTAGGAATCTGAATCTAAAAATTAAAGAGTCAAGAAAAATGCACTACTATGAAGTAATTAATAATTAAAACAAACAATAAAACATGAGGGTAAAATGTATGCTATGTATAATAAAAAGTTATTTCTACTGATACACATATAAACAAGGACTTGAAGAAAACAGGGAAAAATAAAAATGTTGTAATACAGAGATGAACGTATGGATTTTAAAAAATGTTTTTAGCTCTTTCCAAAACTAAGTGATTTAATAAAAATGTATCTCAATCCATAACTTTCCTTAACTCTTGGATCTTTAAGCACTATGTACGGTTATTGATTCCAAAGAAATGTATTTCATATAGATGCTTCTAGGTCTCAAAATGGCATTTCTTTTTTTATTAGGCAAAAACATTTATTACTGTGCATAAAGCAAGCATCATCCAAGCTTCAGCCCATCCTCCCTTCCCCTAAATGGCATTTCTTAATAAAGAAGATACTGCAAATACCATTTCATTTTTCAAGACTAACTCTAAATGCAGGAGTAATGACTCACATAACAAACAATGTCTAAATAATATAATTTAACTTTCCTTATGTAAAGTACTCTAAGGTAAAGGCCTATCAAATGACCAAAGATAATTTTATTACTTACAAAGGTTCCTCGTGGTCGGCTAACTCCTGCAAAGCCTGAGTATTCTTTCAGTTCATGGTGAGTTTTAAATTCTTCTTCTCTTTCCTTCTTACTCTCCTTTTCTTCTCGAGAACTGGGAGAAGAAGGTGATGCTGAAGAGGATGAAGATCGAGAATGATCTTGCTCTCTACTTTTATGTTTACTGCAAAATAAATAAAGAAAACAAAAAAATATGTGCTATCTTTAAAAAAGATGAAGACCCTGTTGAATCTTATAGTAAGAGGGATATTTTTCAAGTCAAAAAACTATCTCCTATTACAATGATGATTATATTACTAATATGATTGGGTGTTAATTTTTGACAGCCTGTTTCCATTCTCCTTCAATATTTGTTTTACATCACTATTTAAAAACATGCTATATGACCTGCCAGTTAAAAACTAGCAGTCTGGAAACTTCAAGTATGAGGTTCAGTTCTTCTATAATTTTAATTTATTTTTGTTATTTTAAGGAAAGAAAAAGAAGAGTAGGGAAAGGTAAGAATGTTTTTAAAGGCCAAGTTTCAAAACGACTGCAGTTTATATACCATAGGTGAGAACAGTTGGTATGGTTTGGGCCATAACTCCGTTATAGAAATAAAAAACATGACATTACAAGAAAAAACACAAGTAAAATCCACCATTTACCTAATGAATACCAAAAATAAAAAATAAAAAACAATTATCTATGATACTTAGTATTCCTAGTATTTATTTGACTCTGTGATGATCAATATTACATGATTCTAGCCACACCCGAAAAGGTCATACCTGCAATAACTCTTACCACTGCTAACAGTATCCATGGAAACATTACTTTGAAAGACTAATACACATTGCTATTTCATAAAAACTAGTCCTTCCTCCCCCCAATCTCTCCCATGTTAAACCACTAGGTATCAGTTTAAAATTCTTGTACTCTGGGTGTTATGAGTTGAAAAAGTGCGGAATCAAGCATAACGAACCAAAGTTCTTACACAAACTGTTTCTAGAAATGCACTGCATTGAAGTCCAACCTCCTGATGTAGCCTGGATAATAGGACACATTAATTTGTCATTTTTTTTTTCAGTGTTAGCTTGCTATTCCAAAGTTTTTGTCCTCATCCACCATAAGCCGAGTAAAAGACAAATACATTTTTGCTGTAAAACAAATAATTTTAATTGTTTAAATTTAAACATTCGATTACACAGTCAAAATTGAAAGCAATTAAGCTCACAATTATTAAAGGCTAATTAGAAGCTAAAACCTAATTCAGATAGTTTTAACAATTACCTGTCTTCTTTGTAAGATTTGTATTCCTTGTAATCTTTTGGAGTTTTTTCCTGCTTTCTTGAACCACTGGATTCCCTGGAGCCCTTGGAATCCCCCCGTTCTTTACTTCTTTCTTTTCTCCGACGATCAATGTCATGCCGAAGATCAGCAGAATCACACCTTAATTTTTTATCTCCCTATAAAAGACAGATATAAAATAAAGTTCAGGGGAGATAAAGAAAAAAAAAAGAGCCAAGTTTTATGCCAGTTTCTAAAGTGACATTTTAGAATTAGAAAAAAAAGAGATCATAAACTACTTCCATACTTAGATTTTGTTTTAAAAAAATGTACTTGATTGTTTTTAAATATTTGTGTACACAAGTACAGTGAGACTGGGGAAGTTTTTAAAATCTAATTACCATGAAAACGTCCTTAGTTTTTGTTCAAAGCAATCCATAAATTTTTGTACAATAAAATGATAAATATTTTTCCACTCAGCAATTGTCATTATCATCCCACATCATCCCAAATAGCATTTTTTAAAAAAACATTTGAACATTGACAAAGGTTATAATCTATAGTTGTGGTATAGCCATCTGCCTATAAAGTTAAGGTATCCTAAAGTAATGGTTCTAATTACTTAAACCTCATTATCATCAAGCTCTTTCCAAAGAATGTGACCAACCCAATGAAAGCTACTTAAAGAATTCTGTAATTTCCATAACATGCAACTGGAATATGATTAATAAAACCAATTGAAGTTGAACAAGGGTAGAAAACAAAGCCAGAAAGACATATTCCCAATCCTGTACTCAGTATCTTGGGCCATACACTGCCCTTTCTCAATTCAGGTATTGCAACAGACATTAGTTTAACTGGGTCACAATTCACCTCCTTCTTGTTCCATTGCTTTTTCAAATACTATATAATTTAGGAAGATGGAAAGAGGAATCTAGGAATGAAGAAAAATTACACATCAGTAAGATGCTAATAATGTGGACATCCTTGCTAGTATTCAACAATAAGTAGTACTGGGAAGTCTAGCTATAATATTCATAAGCATTCATAAACCTGAAAGTATAAATATATCTCCAAATAATATCAACTACTCACCTATTTGCTCCCAGGCTAACCAAGAAAAATCTAATCAAGAGCAAAACCTTCCTATTCACCTAGTTTTACCAAGCCCACAAGTAACACGCTAAGGAGAGTGAAAACAGTTTGTAAACTACAAACTATACGTATATTACACATTAATACACATATATTAATTATTCATTCAGACAGAAAGATAAAAGATGAAAAGCAATGTCATATCTTCTTGTCCATCCATCAGTAATCACTTTTTTTGTCTCCTCCAAATCAAAATCTGTTCTGAGTAACTAGAGAAGCAAAATACTCAGTGTCAGCACAGGATAGACTAAATTGTTGGCAAAACAAAACCAACACTGAATCCAAGACACTGAAAGTAAAAGCCAAAATTAGTATTCACTTCTCAGAATTGGCTTTTCCAAGATCAATGTGTCCTATGCAAAGAAACAATTTTCTTTCTAATCTCTAAATTCCATATCTAGTAATTATATTTAAAAATCTGTACACAACTGTTAATAAAAGCTGCTAGTAATAGAAGTACCTATGTTTCCGTAATAACCCCATTATTCAACAACTCTCCAAAACTGATGTATTCTCATTTTTCTGAGTGGAAAACCAACATCCAAGAAGCTAAATGTTTTCCAAATATCAGAGATAGTATTTAGTGACAGCCAGAATTTCAACAAAGCAGTACTTCCAAGTCACCTAACCTTTTCATTACAAAAGTTGCTCCTTTTCTCCTTTTCCCCCACACTTCTACTAGACTTTTGTGGCCTATCACATGACTGGCCTACCTAGAAAATGTCCATTTCGAATTATCAGAGCCCCCAATGACTGAACTCCATTCTCCCAGAGCCCCACTAACCCAGTTATTATTCACAGGCTCCTCTCTCAAATTTAAAAACATTCACCCGCCCCCATCTCCAAAATCCACAAGTATTCTAATAGTGACATATAGTTTTTGTTCCAAACATTCATTTGTAAATCAGTTCTTAGAATGCTTATTTCTTAGTCCAAAATGCTCAGCAGCATTGGGATTACTTCTGTGAAGATCCAAGAGATACTTATTTAGGCACACACAAATCAAGAAATATTTATTCCAGCTCATCCATTTCACCTCAAAACTTATAAAAGGCCTAAAATAATTTGTGTCATTGCTTATATAATTTTCCTTTGTCTACCCATTGATTCTTTACCTTTTTCTTAGAAGTAATTTTTCTTCCTTTCATTAGCCTTTTAAAAAATTACTCTTAAGGAGCATCTGAGATCTTGCTCTCTAGCATCTGTCAACAGTTTGGTTCAAATAAACTCATAAAAACTCTCACAAAAAAAATAATAATAACTCTTGGTTTAACTTAGACACATGGTAAAGCATCAGCTTCATTTATTCTAGGAAGTTAACTGTGTGTGTGTGTGTGTGTGTGTGTGTGTGTGCGCGCGTGAGTATGTAGTATATTTAAAAGTTAAAAATAGAAAGTATCTCTAAACATTTTGCCTAAACAAACTATGCTTCATACAATACTATTAACAAAATTAAACTGAACATAAAAATATTGTCCCTTCAAAACATACCTTCTGAATTTCTTCTTTAAAAACTCTCTCTTCCCCTGCTAATCGGGTATGCTTCCTCAGGGCACTTGGAGAGATGTCAATTCTCCTTAATGTAAAATAAAGTTTATTTGTAGTCACATTACCTTAATGGTTCCCAAAAACCCTCAGAATTTTTCATTTTTGTAAAAAAAAATACTAGACAGTTATTTCTCTCCCAATTGACTAATTTAGTATAGTAAAATTATTAATCTAATTACTAACAGACAATTAAAAAATAAACTATTTCTGTTAAAAAATGAATTAAAATGGTTCGACCAGGTTATTTTTATATATATAAATGAAGCCTGACCTTTTAAATCATCAAACTTATTTTAATCATCAAAAAGGAAAAATCTGTTTTGATTAAATATTATCTAAAGTGTCCATCATCATACAATTACAAAACAAACATAATATCCTCAATGAAAACACAAATAGGGGGTCATTTAAACCTAAGTGTCCCCAATATTTTTAAATATTCAGTGGATCTTTAGTTTTATTCTGCATCTCTCCTTGCCTTAAGCTAATGTCAGTTGCAACCTGCCAGTGTTTCTTCAGCAGTCACCACCAAAACCACACCTACTATGTAACAATGAGCACTAAGTTATATACTTTATAATAAATAACATTAATTGTCACCACCACCCTGAAAAATAGGCATTGTTATTCTTATTTTGTAGATAGAAAAAAACTAATGTTCAGAGATTAAATAACTTGTTCATCACAATGCAATGAAGTGAAAGAGCCAGGATTTGAACATACTTACACTTGTCTGACTTCAACTTGCAGGCTTCTTCCAAGAAAAACAGTTTTCTACCTCTCTACCAAGCATTTTTATTTTACAAACTTATTGGAATTAAACTCAAGGGTTATTACTCTAGGTATCCAACCTCCTCCCAAAATAACAAATGCAGTAACTTTTTCAATTCCATATTGGGGGGAGTGACAAAAGAGTATTTTAAATTCTAATGAGTTTAAACTCAAAATTAAGAATAAACAATAAATTACAAACTTTTCAAGACTAGAAATATATTTATTCAAGGCATATATCAGGAATAAAACCAAAGTTCATATGTATCATGATGATAGCCTAATTCCAAAATAATCTTGTTTTCACAGTATCTGCCTATCAAAATAGCATTTTTATATGCCCACTCAATAGTACACATACCTGTGTATCTCAGGGCTCTTTTGCCGAGTACTATGTTCTTCAGTGGCTTTCTGATAGGAAGTGAACCTCTCGTTTAGGGTCATCGCAGGTGATTTGAAGTATTGCTCTGTTGATTTAGGAGAAAGACTGCCCAATTAGTTATCTTTAAGAGGGATATTCATTTGTGACAGAAGGGCAAGTAGCAGGTGAAAATAAAATAAAAATACTCAAGAAACCTAGCAGAAGGGAACCAAGTGTTACAGAGAGCTCCTCCTACCCTGTCCCTTTTTATAACTCTTACACCTCAACAGGAAACTGATACAAAGTTCCTCCAGGTCCCTGTCAACACTACATTTAATCCAAAAACAATAAATAGATTGAACTGAGTCTCTAATTCCATTTCAATAATGCACTACTTCCTCAAACAGAAAAACAGTATGTGAATGAATTTCCCTTATACCTTGCCAATATGAACAAATGAAGCTGCTTCAAGTAATCATTTGCAGAAAACAAAAATACTGAAATAACTTCATAGCTGGTTTTAGTAAACTAATAAAATTGTTTCATCAAGAACTATACTGGCAACAAAAAATAGACTTAAGAAAAAATTTAATACTGTTATTTCAATTAGAAAATATTTTTCAATTAACATTCATCAATTACTCCAAAAATCTGGCATCTTGGCAAACCTGACAGCACATTTGATATTAATGCCTTGTCTTTCAACAATTTTTAAATTAGTGATATCAATACTGATCTTTTAACTAGTTCAAGATATGCTGTAAATGTAAAATACAAAGACGTATAAAGTCATGAAATGTTACATTATGAAGCAAGCTATCTGCTTAACAGGTCAACATACATCTGTTTCAACTTACCGCCCAATATCCAGCACATGTCTCATAACCAATTAAAACTTGAAACGGCCACTACAAGGGTAGTGCCTCAATCATAATTCCATGAAACCCAGGAATTTGAGCTAGCAACTCAGTTTTTATGCCATTTTTGCCAGGAAGACAGAAGATTCAACTTTGCCTGTATCTTTCAACAGCTATTTTACTTTGAAACATGGATTTTGCCATTTCAAAACATATTCCAGGACCTAGTTACAATGAAAAAGAAAACATCACTGGGCATTTTCAGCTCTAGATTAAGTAAGAGCTGTTCAGATCGGTTGCATAATACCAATAATAAAACATAACTACAGTTCTTTTAAAAAAAAAAAAAAAAAAAGGAAGAAAAAGCAAAAAGAAAAAGCAAAAATTTTATCAAAACCTGATCTCAAAATTCAGCAATAAACTGTAAAATGTGGAGACAGGTCAAAAAAAGGTGAAAAAAGAAAAACGTTAATGTTCCCTATTTTATGTACCACAATAATATGGTCATAAACTGGTTCACAAAACTAATTAAAGCCAAATAACAAAATCTTTTGTCACCATGTTTAAGATTACAGTAAAAAAAAATAGAAATTCATTAATTATTCAGTTTTGAAATACCAAGTGCATAAAGAATTGCTAGTGGTAAGTTTCAGCTATTGCAATGAGTTGTTCTCATGTCAAAAGACAAACTTTTTTTAAGAAATGGCTTAAGACCAACAGACATGGAGATTCCTAATAACCTATTACATAGTATGCTGCCTTCTAAACACAAAAACAAAAAAACAAAACTTAACCTAATTGCCCAAAAAGTCATACCCTAAACACCTTTGAAAATAATTAGTAATTCTGAAACTAGAATTACATACTGGTAAAAACAGCACATCAGAATTTCAGTTGAAATGAACACCTTTATCATCTTTAGTACCTAAAGAAATCTCATCATTATTATCCTAGTTAGTCATTATTCATGTAATCACTACTAATCTACTTTTAAATTTCTTGAACTTGTTTCCCGTTTAAAAATCCTAATAATTTTTTCTAGCTTATTTATCATGTAAAAAAGTTAAGTATTAAAAGAATTTAAGTAACACAAAAACAAGATAGTAAATTAATATTGTTTTCCACTGGTTTCAGGTTTTAAGCTGAAAAAATTTCTTAATAAATGATATTCAGTAACAATGCTACTTGACTTTGTTATAAATGTACGTCATGAGTACAATGTAAGTCATACATCTGCAGGTAATGGAAGATATTCTATAAGCACTTCAAATACAGTATAATGGCACATTTCAAAAACTTTTAGCATTAAATAAATCTGCATCATGTTTTATCATGATGTAAATTTTTAGGATTTTAACTCAACATTTCAATCACTTTTTATTAAATATCTTCGTAATAGCAAGACATATCTCTTTTCATGAAACACTTTTTTCTCCCAATTTTTAATGGCGTCTGTAATATTTGCTATCCCTGCCCATTTTATTTTATTTGCAGGAGAAATTCAATTCACAATACTAAACATACCTTTAACATGATGAACCAAGGACACAATGTGCTGAATAAATGACTCTGAAGTGCTTTTGCTGGCCTGTGGCAACTTAATGTGGTCAAAGATGGATCGGAATTCTTGCTCCTTCTTGACAGAATGGACAAGTGTACTAGCAAGTAGCCTGTCTTTAGTCAAGGAAGCAGGTCTGGAACATATCGGTACAAACACACAGATACAAACAAAATATACCATTGGTTTGAATATAAATATGAGAAATACATTCAGAAAATAAAATGATTAACTGGAATATTAACTAACCACCCACATTTTAAAAGCCATTTAATTTACCGGGCATTAATGTGGAATTACCTGTTAGAATCATCAAGAGGAACAGGGGCCATTTTGAGTTTGACTTCAGGACGATGAGAATCACTGGCTATCATTTTGATTCTAAGTGGGCTCTCCTCTCTGAAGGTAGACTTTTCTCGTGCATCCAGATTCTTGTGTAGAGGGGGACTGTAATCAAAGAGGTCTTTGAGCTTTTCAGACTTTACCTGCTCAGGTGACTGAGTTTCTTTCTTTACTGTTATTCTCTCAGAATTTTTGTCGTCTTCCTTGTGCTTATCTTTTGTAGTGCTAGGCCTTTCCACTACATATCCAGTCTCTTTAAGTTTGTAATTTTTTTCTTCTCTAAATCCATCACTTTCTCTATTGCCTTTCAGTGAAACTTTGGACTTGTACTTGGTTCCTTCCTCCTCAGTATTCCGGTGAGATGTAGTAGCAAAATTTTTACCCTGATCTGCAAGGACTGACTTCCTGAACTGTCTATAATCCTCTGTCTCCTCAGTGTCATCCCCTTCTGAATCATTAAACTTTTGTTTTCCAGACTCTTTATCACTGAAATAATCTAGAGCTTCCTGATCTTCCCATTCTCCCTCTGCCCTCCCTTTCTCTGATCCTTTCTCCTTTGCAGCCTCTTTATCCCTGGTATTACCCCTATCAAGCAGGAATACTCTAGACTCTTCATCTGTGAACCTGTGAATAAGCAAAGAAGAGGATGGTAACTCTGGATTGCATTCACTGTGGGTAACTTGCATACTTAAATGTGCTGCCCTATACCACAGGACCAGTAATAAGAGAAAGAAAAAAAAACCTACTGAAAGTGTTTTCAGACTCCACTCTTAAAACATTAAAGGCATCCACATAGCACTTACATACTGAGTTTTTAAATAAATGTAAGACTTCCTGAAGTTTAAAAAGCAAAGCCATTCTTAAAAATCTATTCTATTTAATCATAGCCCACAATTCTACACTAACAAATCCAAATTTCCAGAGATCCTATAACAAACAACACAGCTTAAGTTTAATTTCTGAGTCTAAGAACACTAGCAAACAATATATTTATCTCTTAGTAATCTACTTATGATGATTGTACACAAAACGTCAGGTTATATTTCATTTACCTATCCACTAATATAAAAAAAAAAGTTCACAGAAGGACTTTAACGCAGTTGATAATATTACTCTATCTGAATCATAAAATAGTTCACATATACTTTGCTGTAGAAAGTGATTATTTCTAGCAATACTAAGTAAAAACTATTTATCAATTTCAAGAAATTCCAGATTGTATAGCACTGCATACCATAAATGGCATGCTTTCTCTATTTCCTTACTTTTAAGTTGATCACACTACATTAACAGTTTTCAGAATGTTCTTTAGCAACACTTGAAATTAGAATTTAAACCAAGTATCTGTTTAAAATATCACTAGAGTCAGTAAGAAATACCATTATCTTTTCTGTGGTCAGGCAGATTTATTAAAAATTGGCAGCTGGACTGTTTATAATACTACACAAGAACGTGAAATAGAACTGCATTATTTATGTAGGTCACATTATAACATTGAAGAAAACAAAATAAGCTTTCAATGCTCTTACAAAATTAATCTCTAAAAATTTGGTTTTTATATGTTAGTTATCAGTTATGCTTTATGCTACTCAATTTTTGTTTACATTCTTAATTCTGAACTTACTGAAAATTGATAAAATTTAAAAAAGGAATATAAATTAGCTTCAATTAAAACACTTAACTTTCAAAGTTAGAGTTGTGAGTAAAAACTATTTAGAATTAACTTACAAAGAAAGTCATGAGTGAAAATAACTAAATATACATCACAAAGCAATTTTAAAGTCTTATAAATCCAAGTAGAATTAAAGAACTATTAATATTTTAATCTAAATTCTCTACTTTAGTTCCTACCTTTTCAAGAATTTTCCTGTCTTCGCAGTTTCCTGATCTCCACCATCAGGATAAAATGAGGAACGTCCCCTAGCCTCATCTCTTGGAGCATTCTGTGGTGTGATTGTCTTTGCAGGGCTTCTTCGTGAAGGGATGTGATGAATCGGACTATTCTGAGAAGGACTATATCGACTAGATCCGTTTCCAACAGAACCAGAACCAGACCTTTCAGGACTATGCTGAATGGAATGTGAATGCTGAGAAGGGGTGTTTTTTGCAGAGTGGACTGTACTGAGCATGGGCGCATCAGAGCAAGATGAACTCTGACTAGGTGGTGTAGCAATTGGTGAAGGACTATGGGGTGATCTGGGACTATTATCATAAGCTGAAAGGCCAGGCCAAATATCACCAGATGTGGCTGATGATTTATTAAATTCATCAATAGATTCAGATGGGTCATGTTCAAATGTATCTTTCGGTTCCTCCTGTGATTTATTTTTCAAAGGACTCTCTTCTTGGGGTTCCCCTTCAGATTTTTTGGTTTGTTTTTCCTGAGACCCTCGTCTTTTAGAGACAGGAGATTTGCTATACGGGGATGAAGAACGAGAAGAGGATGATCTTGGAGACCTAGAGGATCTATATGACCGGCGAGATCTGCTTCGGGATCTTTGAGAAGAAACGGATCTTCTTTTTGGACTCCTGGAACGTGAACGACCTCGTCTAGGACTCCTAGAGTGTCTTCTGTTCCAGACAGGTCTATAGCCACCTCGATGATATCTACCTCCTCCACCTTGATAATACCCTCTTCCCCTTCCTCTGTACCCATAAGGTCGTCTCATTCCTCTATTATTTCTGTAATCTCGCCGATAATCTCTGGAATAAATACGATCTCTACTACGAGATCTTGAATACGTCCTGGAACGAGACCTAGAACTAAAAATGAAATAAATATCAATGCAATAAAAACGAACTATTCCATCCTATCACTCTAAATACTCCTGGTTCAATATAACACATAAATCATTTGTCAAACCTAAAAATGTACACTTAACCTCATATACATAAAAGTTTACTGTTTTCAATGAAGAAAGTCTCATTTCTAAGTTAAATATTGAGAGAATAAATTAAAGGCTTTAGCAATTAAGGCATAAAAAACAAGGAGGGAAAAAGGCCTATACTAACAATAGTGTATTTCTTCAAGCACTTAAAGAAATAGTATAGCCCCGCTGGTGTGGCTCAGTGAATGAGCACTGACCAATGCACCAAGAGGTTGCAGGTTCGATGCCTAGTCAGGGCACTATCCCCAGAGAGGGGCGTGCAGGAGGCGGCCAATCGATGTTCTCTCTCATTGATGTTTCTATCTCTCTTCCCCTCTCCCTCTCTCTCTAAAATCAATCAAGAAAAAAAAAATGTTAAGAAAAAAAAAAAGGGAGAGATTGTACAGGCCAGCCAGTGTGGCTCTCTGGTTGAGCATCAATCCATGCACCAAGAGGTCGTCGGTTCAATTCCTGGTCAGGGCACATACATGCCCAGGTTAGGGGCCCAATCTCCGGTGGGGGGCATGCAGGAGGCAGCCAATTGATGTTCTCTCTCTCTCTCAATGTTTATCTCTCTCTCGCTCCCTCTCTTAAAAAAACAAAAAATAAAATAAAAACACCAATAAAAACCTATTAAAAAATTTTTTTAATGGCGTTAAGAGGATACTCATCAGTGAAATACTATTGGTCAAATGCATACATAGTATAAATTTAGGCTTAGAAAAATTAATACCGAAAAAAAAACCAAAAACTAGTATTAATTCTTACTGAGATTATGGTCACTTTTATTTTCAACTTATGGTTTTTTATTTTCTACGCTATGTATTACTATTTAAAGAAAGACAACTGAAGTTAATTTTTAATAAAAGAATAAACTTGTGGAGACCTTGAGTCAGAAACAGTAAGAAACTATGAAATAATATGTAGATTTTTCTGCCAAAAAATTGTTACCTTATCTAATTCATCTCTTAACATATAAATATAAGAAATCTACCATATAGTGCACAGTACAGTAAGAATCTGAGATACAGAATCAGACTAGCTGGATTCTAATCTAAGCTCTGCCGTTTACTAGCTTACAACTTGCACAATTCTCAATTTCTCGAACTATAAGATGAGGAAAACAACAAGTCAATTTGACAAGGTTCTTTGAGAATAGATTAATGAATTTATCACTATTATTGTAAACACTCCATAAATATTAGCTGATTATCACTATTAAAAACTTTAAAAAGCACAGTAATTCACCTGTATCTCTTCTTTCTAGAGTGTGACCTTGATCTTGATCGAGAACTAGACTGCGATCTAGACTTTGATCTTGACGAATGTGATCTAGAATTGGAGCGACCCATTTCTTTTCTCCTAGTAAAATGAGAGACCAAAGAAGGTTAAAATTCATAATACAACTGAAAAGTTTTACATTATTTAACTCATTTTCAGATACAAATTAAATTTTATAAGATATAAGTTTCTCAAGAAATATTACTCATCGTTTTCAAATGTGTACCAAGCCAATTATTCCTAACTAAAAATGTATTTTCACTTGCATGAAAGGTATTGTATATTTTGAAGACATAACAGAAAATTTCTATGGGCTGCCCCCACCTATATGCCTCAATCCAAAAAGGCAGCAGCTGCAGAAGTCAGAAACAGCATCTAACTGCAGCACTATATATCAAACTACAGCACTATGTTAGATGTTATTCCATGCCCAATACAAATGCCTACCTCTCCCGTAAAAAAGATAGTTATCAGAGTATTACAGATTAGGAACCCAAGACAAAGAAACAGTGGCACAATACTAAAGAGGTATAAAACCTACCAGACTGTCATCACAATGTTTTATGGCCTTGTTTTAGTGGACTAAATTGACCAGTTCATGTATACAATACTGTCTGGAATGGTGGACAGCCTCCTAGTAGAATAAAGGCTATTAAATCTCTGAACAGCTGGAGTCATGGTTCTACTCTGAAATATCATGACTGCAGAATAAAAATGGACTTATGTGACAATGCCTAGTCTACCCTGTAGGCTTCTGGTAAGATGAAAAAGAAAAAAAGATAAGAAGCTAGAGAGAAATGCTACAAGAGATTGGAGCTCCAAGAAAGAGAGAATTGCCCCGGCCCTGAGCAGTGGTTAGTGTCAGCCCTCAGACCAAACAGTCGCAGGTTCTATTCTGGTCAAGGGAGCACGTACTGCAGTTGCAGTTTAGTCCCGGCCCTGGTTGGGGCCCTGTGGGAGGCAACCAGTCGATGCGTGTCTCTCTCACATCAATGTTTTTCTCTCTCTTTCTCTCTACCCTTCCCTCCCACTTTATCTGAAGATAAATGGAAAAATATCCTCAGGTGAGGATTAAAAAGAAAAAGAAAGAGAATTGGGTAACAGAATTGGTCATCAGTATTCTAACTTTTCTAAACACTTTTTAGTGTCTAATGTAATTAGTATCTAATTAGACCTCAGAAATCTAACACTATTAACTAATTTATAAGATCTACTCTTCACAAAATTTTATTTACATCTGTATCTTCCAAGTTTATTTGTTATAATTTCCAAATTTCCACTAACTTATTACTCAAAATTAATTATTTCTATAAAAGTGACTCACTAAACTTCTAACAGCTTGCAATTACCATATATTTAAACCATTTCTCAAACAAAATATTGTTGAAGGCATTTATTTTACCTACCTTGACTTGGCTCAGTATTATGAAATAGTATTTACAAGTACTAAGATGAGATGAATTATAGAAGGTCGTGATAATGCCTGCATACTTCCTCATAAAAAAAATAAATGACAGCCCTGGCCAGTCTTGCTCAGTGGTTAGAGCACCAGCCTCAGACCTAAGGGTCTCAGGTTCGATTCCTGGTCAAGGGCACATACCTGGGTTGCAGTTTCAATCCCCAGGCCCCTGCTTAAAGTGCTTGTGGGAGGCAATCAATTGATGTCTCTCTCTCATATCAATGTTTTTCTCTCTTTCTCTCTCTCCCCTTCCTCCCTCTCTCCCTTCCACTCTAAAAATTAATGGAAAAAATATCCTCAGGTGAGGATTAACAACAACAAAAAATATAAATGACAAATTCAAGGTTTCTGATAAATATTTATTTCAAAACGAAACATAACTATCCTCAAATAGACAAATACCAGCTTTCCCTTCTCTCACTCTTTATTCTAAGTAAGAAATACATAAAGACAATATGCTCCTCAGAACTGTAGTGAGGACTACATGAGTTGACACATTCAACACATGAAAAGATTTAGCACATAATAAGCAATCAAATTTAATTACATCAGCACCAATGTAAAGGGAAAAAAGCTAAGTTATGGAACTCCTCTTGTATGCATAAGGGAAGATCAGTTAAACAAGCAGGATTATTTTGTCTTGCTTTACTTTTAAATAGCTTTGTGCATACTAAGTTTTTAAATAGATGTGTTTATAGAAATAGAAGCAATCTGGCCGGTGTGGCTCAGTGGTTGAGCATCAACCCATGCACCAAGAGGTTGCCAGTTTGATCAAGGGTCAGAACACATGCCCAGGTTATGGACCCAATCCCCAGTGGGAGGCATGCAGGAGGCAGCCAATCTATGTTCTCTCTCACTGATGTTTCTACCTCTCCCTCTCACTTCCTCTCTAGCTAAAATCAATAAATAAATAAATAAATTTTTTTAATCTATAGAAATAGAAGCAGACACACAACTTAGAAGCGGGAGAGATAAAGAGAATCTTTTTCCTAAAACTAACTTCTAAAATCTGGCTTACTTCATAGAAGCCACCAAAACAAAAACAAAAAGAGCTTCAGACCACATCACTTTTAATCATTCAGTTTGAATCATGATTTGAGCAGTCAGGTTTTCTTAAGCCAAAATGAAAACTAGAAAAATGAGTGCTCTATACCTTGGGGTTTTTTGCAGGATCAAGCAGCCAAGTGAAGTCTTTGAAATACTGTGAAATTCTTCCTGAAGAGAATGTTCTGAGATAGTAAACTCAAATTCAAATTCCTGGCAAAAATAAAAAATATGTTTGATTTATGGTAAATTAAATACACACTGCTTACAATGCCTTATACTCAGCATTGCAATAAACTGAGTATAAAGGCACTAATGACTTCAGAGAAGGGGAAACTGACCTAGGAAATAAACTTTTAACCGTTAAGAGCTTAAAGAACTTAACTTTTTTGTTTTAATCAAAATTCAACACTGTATCATGAAACTGAGAGCAATACTTTTCAATTTACTTGAATTCTAATCTTAGCAATGTGAGCTTTACTAAACATAAGCTATGCTGACATTCTATGAGAAAATTCCAAAATGGCTAACACAATGCCATCTAGTCATATATATGTAGCTATATTCTTAATGCTATAGTTTATAACTTATCTAAAATATGAGTTTATTTTAATGTTTTGCTACTTATTGCTCTCTCTTGGCCAATTTCTTTCAAATAATTTAGTGTCATCTGAACCTGATTTTTTACAATTCATACAACAGCCATCACAGTAACTCTAAGATTTGTGCCTAAAAGCATTTTAATACATGTACAGCAGACAGTCCATTAAAGAAACATCCAGTAAATTAAACAATTATCTATTAAAAGTCAATATTCTTCCTAAACTAATTTACTATTTTCAAATAAATTTAAATTTTGCACAAAATATTAAGCAGTTATCAATACTAAAAAGGTTATCCTTGTGAATAACATTCAGTGATTATCAATTTCATGCAAAGAACAGTTAAAAAACACTAGAGAATCAAACACTAAACCAAGGAATGCCGGAAAAATATATGCCAACACTCAAGGAATTCATAAACCGGCTTAAATTTTTTAAAAAAATACACATTAAAATGAGTATCTGTGAACCTTACCAAGAAACTGATGCAATAAAAAAAATTCAGTAAAATTAGAAATACATAGTAGAAAAAATGATAAGATTAAACTGGTGAACCAAGAACAACATTCCCTAAATACCCACGCCCCTACTGCCAGGGGAGATTAAGAGAGTTGAGGTTCAAGCTAGGAAGGAGGAATAGAAACCTAGTGATTGAGGGAAACACACTCAAGTAACGTAGCAAAATTAAAAGGCCAGGTTCAGAAACAAAGGATTTCTAAAATGCATGAATATTTATAGCTTTAAAAATATTAACTCCCTAAGTGGGCAGAGAAAAACTAATCTTCTAAACTGGTGTGTTATGAGACTTTATTCTGACCTAGAAGTCCAATACTACTGAGATTCACTGGAAGTGATACAAGGTTCATTTTAGTTAACAAATCTAAAGGGTTCATTTTAATTTCTATATATCCAGACAGAACCAACTGCCAAATCTCTCTACTGTCATGATTTTTTGAAGTTTCAAGAAAATATACACTACAAATAGCAAAGTGAGGGAGAGGGACTGTAGGCTGTTAGACTAGTCTTGCACACAATCTATAAATATATTCAAGTACCCGTACTAAGAACTCAATGAGCATATGTAAAACGACACAATATATTTAATACATAATATTCACTATAAAATATAAGTAACATTTTATATTAACAATATCCAACACAGTCAATACAAAGACTATAATCAACTCAGCTAATTTTTGTTAAATGCAAGTCTATGTACAAAGCACTGTGCTAGGTATTATGAAGACATGACTATGTAAGATATCCCTGCCCTCCAAAAACCAATGAGAAGGAAAAAAATCATAGCAAACTCACTAAGATATTTAGATACCTTGTGTGCCAAAAACTGTGCTGACATTAAAATCAACCAACTCATTTAATCCTCATAATCTCAAGAGATATACACTTCATCATTCAAAAGAGAACTCCAAGCTTCAGAATTCCTCTGAATTTATAAAGTGCCTATTACATACTAGGCCTTATTATTCTAGGGTTAGAAATAGAGCATTTTTAATGAGACATGTTGGACATTTTGATTTCCTTTTCACTTTTTTATCATTGTAAATTACACAGAATTCAGCTAGTGTTCAACTAATGATTTTGAATAGTTTCTCTAAATCCCCAATCCAAAACTGTACGCACATCTAGAAAGCTTTCTCCATTTATACACGTCTTCTCATCACACATCTACTACAACTAGCTACCCAAATAAGTTAGTCAAATTCAACCAGAACTGAGCCTATCAACTGATAAGTTTTTGTCTCCGAGTCCTAAAATACTGTTCTTCCAAATAAAGAATCAGCTCTAGCTAAATCTCCTTTGCCACCATTTTAATATCTAAAGTAAGGGAAATTCCAGTGTTTACCACAATGTAACAGTGCAAGCATGATATCCTTAAAACAAGATGCTACAAGCCATCTGTAGACAGACTTTAAATTGGTTCACCGTAAGTTGTTTTACACACAATCCTTCCACTCAAGTTTATTTATCCTGAATAGGCTAAGAACACATAAAAACGGAAATAAACCTTGTAGAGGTTTTTCCTATGGAAAAGCTCTTGTCTAAACAATAGTCCAACCATTCCAACTAGACTCCAACTGGAAAGAGGGATAAGGGATTGTTTTGCTTTTTAATTCTCCCAAAAAGTTAAAAGGCGCTGCTGCAGAAAGATGTCTGAAGTACCTAATCTCTTTACATCAGTTTTGGTCATATTTGCCTTCAACTTTGGTCTTAATTTTTTTCCATATTAAAGCGCTTTAAAACAGTTTGATGTATAAAAATAATTCAGTACTGCTGCTTGATTCTGATGACATAAATCATAAAAGTTAATAAAGCCAACTGCTGGACTATAATTTAAATGGGGGCAAAATAAAAAAAAAAAAAAACGTAACTCACCGCTGCCACTCATTTACCCCACCAACTACCAATCATGGCTGCAACATTTCTAACATTATAAAATGGGCTGAATCACGTGATGAAAAGACGTGGTTCCGCTTGTACTGCTGGAGAACTCAACTGCCCTTTCGTCCCAGGAGCCTTCGGACCAAGGCCCACTCGCTCCCATGAAAGGCACCAGTAACTAGGCACCAACTCCTAGAGTCAACAGTGCACCGTTCCTCCAAAACAGAGTGGGTTGCTAAGAGCACCTGAGAAGATGAACCCCGGAAAAAAATTTCCCCGCAACACCAAGGTTCCGAGGGACAGAACAGCATCCTACACTGAGAAGAACGAGGCGTAAGCCGACGGGCAGCGTGAAGCTAGGGGGAAAAGAAGGGTTTAAAAGAGACGCGAAAGGGGGTCATCTACTCAGTGCACTTTGTTACAGATCATAATTATTTTACCAAAGGCCCAGAAGAAAGGTGGCGACCCCAGTCAATGACGAGAACCCAAGTTGCACCTCAGGCGGCCTCGAGAGCCATAGGCGTGGAAGCGAGAAAGAAGGAAGCGCGCGTGCGCAGGCCAAGCGCTCCGTCGGGCGCGCGCTGGGGTCTGGGCCCAGGAAATGGGGGAAGGGTTGAAGAGAATGATATGCGCACGCGCACGGGAAGGCCGCGCGGTCTCCGGGTCTCGACCAGGTTCTCAGCAAGGCGCGCGCATGCCGTTCTCGCTGCTCACCCCCCCACCCCGCCTTTTGGCCCGTAGTGCCTCGAAAACCAGAGGGAAACTGACGGAGAAAAGCATAAATAACGACACAACGTCTCCTGGGTTCTTCTGCCGCGGCCAACCCGCCACCACCCACAAAAGACTCAACAATATTCCTTCGTCCTCGGTACTCACTTCCCTTGAGTAAATTCACCACCCTGAACGCAGTCTGAGGCCTACCTGACACGCCGAAACACGGTTCCCAGGACTTATCTTCGTCGTAACTATACAGCGGCCATTTCCCGACCCAAGAACGAGAGAAAAACCATAGAGCTCCCTCCGACGCACTAGCTCGTTTCCGTCACTTCCGATTTGGGGCGTGGCCTCTGGTGCCGCTAAATATCTGAGGAAGCCCCGCCTACCCTTCCGCCTTAAACCGGCTCTCTGAACGCTGTTATGGTGTTTCCTGAGGCTTTCTGGGAAGTCGCGTGGCTAATCTCGCGCGATGTTCTGGCGACCCCGCCTTCGGGCCTTAGCGGCCGCTTGGGCGCCCCTGGAGGTTGATAGTGGGTGGAGTGTTTTGCTAAGGCCCTGAGGTACCCTGGACTCTCGGTCGGCTTGCTGTTGTCTTTTCCTCGCTTTGAGGGGGACCCTCTTTAGCCCCCATTTTTTGCTCATCTGGTGCATTCCTTCAGTGGAGCCGACTCAGACCAAGCCAGAAACAAAAAGACAATCTCACGCTGAGGAAGAGACCGAGAGACCCGAGGCGGCTCTGTTAGCACATCTGGTCTCTACGCCAGAGAAGCACCGAGCTCATTCTTGGACGCCTAACTGAACCAGGAAGTGTCGCTTTCGCTCTCACGTAACGTGAAACATGGCCACGTCTAAGTGCCTCTCCCGAGAGGTTGTGACCGCCCCTGCCGCCCCTAACGGGGCTCGTCCGCAGCGCTCCGAGGCGCTGCTGGTCTCCTCGCGGCGCTGGGGCGGCACCGTACAAACAGCCGAGCACGAAGCGGTACCGCTCCTGTGTGCCGCCGAGAAACAGCCGGCCTAGCTGGGGCTGCCAAAAACACAAGTATGAATAAACAGGCGAGCCACGTTTGGATTGGAGAGAATACCCAATGAGGGCCATAGCACATTTTCTGTGACTGCTGCTCCGAGCTGCACTTTCTCCCTTAGGGCCTACGGCAGCTGCTACTTTGATGGCAGGGACCAAACTACCTTACGGGATTTCAAACTGGAATTAGCAACCAGGCTTCTGTCGGAGAAATCCCGGACCGGGCCGCAGTCGCGGATGGAACAGTGCTCCGAGCACCCGCCTCACAATGCAGTTCCCCCTCGGCTCGAGCCACACCGCGTTTCCTGCGACGAACTGTCGGTTGTCTTCTGTACAGGCCGCCCCTCCCCGCCACCACCGCAGAATGGGGTGCCCTGACCGGATGAACTGTATTGAAGGAATACAAACTCACCGTTGTTGGTTCAGTACAACTCCACTATTCTGCATCTATTTGGGCGAGGGGTGGGGTTAGGACGAACGGTGCCCATCCATTTTTTTCAGAATACACCTAAATCTGACTAGAGTGCTTTGCAGCCTAGGGTAGTCCCTTAAAAACCTTGCCCTGCAGTTCTACTGCAAACGTATTGAAAGTAAAATCACCTTTCCGAGGCAGTTTAAATGTGATTTTAAATAACCTGAGGTAGTAACAAGAAAGGAGACAGCATTGGAACAAATGTGTCTTGAACTAGGTCCATTTGATATATGATACTTGATTTTACCAACCTCTGAAATTGGAGGGACTTGAATTTAGATCATGTTTTATGCGCATTCAGAGTTGTCCTATTTTACTTTTACCTGAAATACCATAATTACAACTTCATTCTTTGTAAAAAAAAAAAAAAATCTTTTGTTTCATGTTGAAAATACAAGTAACAGCAAAAAGAACATAGAGGAAAAATCAAGAGCCCATTTAACAAAATAGAAGATTATCCCAAGAAGTATAAATTGTAAACAAATGACCAACCTTACTAATAAGATAAATACACACAAATGGAATACTGAAATATTTTACATTTAAGAAATTAGTAAACCAATTTTAATTTCTAGGTCATTGACAAATTTACTGTAAATATGTTTATTAAACTTTTTTTAAAAATATGTTTTTATTGATTTTTTTTCAAGAGAGAGGAAGGGAGAGAGAGACAGAAACATGGATGAGAGAGAACATGGACTGGCTGCCTCCCGCATGCCCCCCACTGGGGATTTGGCCCACAACCTGGGCATGTGCCCTGACCAGGAATCGAACTGGCGACCTCTTGGTGCATGGGTCAATGCTCAACCACTGAGGCACACTGGCCGGGCTAAAACTCTTTTCTTAAAGGTATTTGTTTTTGTTTCATTTTGGTTGTTTAAGATAATTGAAAGAGAGAATCAGGAGAAGACTGGATATCCAAAAAGGACAAAGACAAGATAGGAACGAAAATGGAGTTGGAAGGCTAGACCACCAAGGCCAACCCCTCATTCTACTGATTTTGTTTTGTTTTGTCTTTTTAGGCTGAACAACATCTGAACTGTTTTCCTATTTGGGGAAACTGAAGTGGTGCCAGGATTTGGAATCTCCCTGTTCTCATTCCCTGAGAACAGTGACATTGGGAACCCAACAATAGTAGTGAGAAATAGGAAGCTAAGGAGATGGGGCCAACAGAGGTTTCCAAACCAGACAGTTTTAGGGAGGGAGTTAGTGATGATTACTGCTGCCTCCTCTGTTCTTATCCTTCCCCAGGCTTTTCATGGATTCCTTTCGTTTTTTGTTTTAATTCTGGTAACATATGCATTGTCACTTTTAGCTGGCTGATAATTTTCAGTAAATTTCTTTTCTGGGTGAGTTAACCAGAGTTGGTTTCTGTTGCTCCCAAACAAAAACTGAGTAGAGGTAGTTCCTATTTTATGAGGACATTTCCCAATGGTCTGGCATTTTTTCATATCTGCACAAATGAAATCACTGGTTTTCTCGCCTAATCTATTTTATTTCCTACTGGTCAACACAAGTTGACTGGGGTTTTTTTTTTATCCTTCTTTCTATTCTGTTTTGCCTACTAAGAAGGAAGAGGTTTTTAGTTTTGTTTTTTCAAGGTTTAAAATTACCAATGTTTTTTTTATCCAATAATTCTTTTTTTTTTTTTAATCCTCACCCAAGGACATTTTTGCATTTATCTTTAGATAGAGCAGGAGGGAGAAAGGGAAGAAGAGAGAAACATTCATGTGAGAGAGAAACACCAAGTGGTTGCCACCCACACGACCCCATCTGGGGCCGGGGACAAACTGCAACTGAGGTACGTGCCCTCAGCGGAAACCGAACTCGGATCTCTCTGGACCACAGGCCAACACTCTAACCGCTGAGCCAAACCAGCCAGGCATCCAATAATTCTTTATTATGGTGTTATAATATATATGGTGTTATAGTCATCTCTCCATTTTGAAAAATAATTAAAATATCAAAATATAACTGCTAACTATTGTTCCTAAGTCTCACCGAGATTAATGTGCATCTTTCTCATGAAGATTATTACAACAAATGGAACATGTAATACTTTCAAAGTTTTTATAAGAAATCTTTGCCTAAAAATTATGTCAGATTGCTATTTAATGTAACTACTAAAGGACTTAAAATGAGGTAATGGGACTATGATTAGATTTGTCACCAAAAATTATTTTTTTACTTAAGAGTAATTATAAGAGGAACAGAACATCTCCCTCTTTATTTATTTATATAATATGTTTTTATTGATTTTTCAGAGAGATAGAAACATCGATCGACTGCCTCCTGCACACCCCACACTGGGGATTGAGCCCAAAACCGAGCATGTGCCCTGACTGGGAATCAAACCACTGACCTCCTGGTGCATGGGTCAACAGTAAACCACTGAGCCACACCAGACAGTCCACCTCCCTCTTTTATTTATTTATTTATTTATTTATTTAGCAGGAAGGAGAGAAGGGGAAAGAGAGAGAGAGAGAAACATTGATGTGAGAGAGACACATCGACTGGCTGCCACCCACACTACCCCAACCAGGGCGGGGGACAAACTGCAACTGAAGTATGTGCCCTTAGCGGGAACTGAACCCGGGTCTCTCTGGTCCACAGGCTGACGCTCTAACGGTGAAGTCAAACCAGCCAGGGCCACCTCCCCCTTTTAAAGCAGTTACCTATTTGCAGACAAATATCTGTGTCTGCCCCGTAAAAAGTCTAAATGCTCAGTTTTGACTACACAATTAAATAATTTATCTCACAAGCAGAGAGCTAAAACCAAATAGGCAAAGGGCTGAAATAAAATATTACCCAAACAAAAACGGTGAAATAATACATTGTGGGGAGAAAAGGGAGGCAATAATCCTTTGCTCTCCAGATTTCTTGGGGTGTTGAAATTTCAGCTTCATTGCTTATTTTGAACTAAAAATTAAGCCTAGTGTAGAGAAGTGGTCATCATTGGTATTGACAAGCCCTAGTACTGGTTTGTCTCAAAGTATGATATATATAAAATCCACCTCACAGGTTGCTTATTTGAAAAATAAATCACTACACACACTTAGTCTTATGGCACTTACTGAGGTAGAATCTATAGGGGTAGGCATGCTCATTAAACTTTGAGAACTAGTAATTTATTGAGTATTTATAATAGTCCAGATATTATGGGACTACAAAGCAGAACAAGATATTTTTGCTACCTCTCTGATGAAACTCAATATTTAGCAGGGATGGGGTATAACTCCCATAACCAAAGGAACAAAAAGACTTCATAGGAGTGAGTGCAAATGTTGAAAGAGGGAAGGCCTAGCTTTTAAAGATTTAGTGAAATTTCACCACTTATTCATTCAGTCAGTCATTCAACAGATATACATGAAATATGTGTAATGTGTAAGTACTGAACCAGGTGCTTGGAATGGGCAGTAATAAAGGCTAACACTGACGGTGCTCTCAAGGAGGCTGCCACTGTGGTGAGGGAAAAAACAGACAGACACACATAAACAGACATAATACAAAGTCTGATACCAATAAGGAACTGATGGAGAAGGAAACAATTTAAAAAAGGGAAACTTACTTTAGAAAGGATGCATCATCAGTGAAAGGTTTAGTAATGTTTTAAAGGGTAAAGGTAAAAGTTTAGGTAAAGGTAAGTTTGCAAAAGGTGGAAACTGTGGAAATTGTGTTGCTTGCATGACCTTTGCTCAGCCTTCTGTTGAGTACACATAAGGATTATCTAGATTATCCGCAAGGCAATGGATAACCCAGGAGATGCCAGACGAGATATCAGACCAGTCCAACTGCAAAGTGGACAATGGGCCATGCAGAGTACGTCAGCAGGAACTG